GGCCAAATGCCAAAACAGTTATCCTTGTTCCAATATTTCTGTCCTGACTGTATGTTATGAAACATTAGATCTTTAGATCAATCATATTGTTTAAAACTTTTAAATGGAGGTGAAGAGAGAAGAAACATTACTTAAATGTTTAAGTTTGATAAAGGATAGATATTTGGCTAGATGAAGAATGGACCTCATAAAAAGTAAAATGTTCCCTGTCACTCATAGTTTCTTTCCTTGTCTTTTTATTTGCAGGCCTATAGACTAGAGCCTTTAATTCTGAAGCACTACAGTAACATTTCTCCTGTGCAGATACATTGGTATAACACCACAAATCCACTACCTTATGAACACATGAAGCCAAGTTTTCTCAATCCAACAAAAGAATCTACCTCTGTCTCTGAGAATGAATCTCTTCCAACATTACCCAGTCCAACAACATCCCCTGTCATGTCTCGGCGGCATTATGGGGAGTCCATAACAAATATAGGCAAAGCAAGCATATTGGGTAACTATTCTAGACATTTTAAAAATCTTTCTTTGTTGGTGTGATTGTCTTCCTTTAAAGTGGTGGTTCTTAAACTGGGGGTAATACCAAGGGGGTAATTTAGGCATATCCTGGGAGTAATGGTACAATTTGTAATAGCTTGTTTGTGAGTCAAGAATCCAGTTTGGGACTGCTGCTGTCAAGACGTTTGTGTAAAAGAACAGAGTTGTTTTGTTTTTGTTTTTTGTGGGAGTAATGACATTATTTGAGATCGGGAAAAGGGGTAATTGCATCAAACAGTTTTAAGAGCCACTGCTCTAAAGAATAGAATTCCTGGAGCCATGAGGCTTATAGGTCACATTGGGCCAACCACTGTGTCTCAGATTAATCTACTTCACAGAAATAATAGGGGAAGAGCAAGCACAGGATACAGATAATTTAGATTTTCAACTATGGTTGTCTTTCATATTTTCTCTTTTTAAAAAAGATATACATAAATTAAAAAATAAAAATATGAGAGAATAAATGTGCTCCCACAATTGGTGCTGCAAGGAAGAATAATTTTTTAACCATAATGTACAGGTACTCCTCATTTAGCAACTGCCTTGTACAGCAACTGCAGTTATGATGGTGATGAAAAAGTAACTTTGTAACCAATCCTCGCATTTATGACCTTCGCAGGTCTGTAAAGCAAAAGAAAGCTGAAGTAAGATCATAAGCACAGTTGTGGTTTCGCTTAGCAACTGCTTCACTTAGCGATCAAGTTGCTGGTCCCAATTGTGGTTGCTAAACGAGGACTACGTGTATCATGTTTCAGTCTCATTCTTTCTTCAAGAGTTGCAAGACAGCATATATGGTGGATAATTTTTACCTTCAGTAGGTATGGGCTTAAGTTACATCTTATAATCCTAAATGATTATTGAAGTTTGCAACATTGCATTGTGGACTAGTGGATGATACTACTTTTTATCATTTGGGCTATAGGTGTTGTCCCCTAGATGACTCTTGTGCTACTCAATTCCACATCATGTTCATGGTTCCACTAAGTGGAGGGGAAGCTTTATTACTTTTGTCTTAAGCAGACTGAAATAAATGGGATTCCTTTCAGTATTAGCACATCTCTGTCAAAAAGCCTGGATTCCACCCCAAATAAACAAGTAACAACTTATTTTGTTAGGCATGGGCTTGCACTTCACAGAGCCTGGGGTTTGCTAAAACCTGGGCATTCAACAGGTGCAGCAGACAGTTCCAACTGATGCATTTTTAAGTTGACCTAAGAATGAAATGAGTGACATTGTGAATATAGAATCCCAAGACTGGCACCGATAGTTTCAGGCTAAAACTATCCACCTGGGGGCAGCAGAGACAAAAGAAAAACTCAGCATTATAGTTCTTAAAAGTGACTGACTGACTGACTGCAGATTTCAGTTACAGTATTTTAGTCAGACTAATACTTCTGTGGGCATGATGAAGGAAAGCTCTGGGGTGGCAATGGGGAAAAAAGCAGTTACACAGCCACTGAATATTACAGTCAAGAGTGTGAAAATGTGGTCATGAGTAAGGACGCTGGTAAGTTATACTTGTAGAATGGCATTTGGGAAAAACCTGTGGCTTCTGTTACTGGCAGCAGTTGTGAGCTTATCATAACCTGTCATGAATCCTGCTGTGCGACTGCAGAATTACAGCTCCTGTTATACTGTGCTCATTGAATACAGGGGCGGCTAGCATTGGAAAAGGGCTCGGAGGGATGCTGTTCTCAAGATTTGGACGTTCCAGTGTGCCCACCTCACAAGTGCCTGAGCCAGGAAAAGAAGGAGCAGAAATGGAGGACAAGAAGTCCACTCTGAGTCAGGCATCAGTCGGGACTCAGACTTTTCCACACAGCAGTTCCGGCTTCCTAGATCCAACAAGTAAGCAGTTCTCCTTATTTTGCTAGTCATGTTTTCACCTTTCTATCTAGGGAAATGCTTCCCCCTGACCTGGAAACAGGATTTAGATTAGCAGCAAGCAGGTCTTATTGAGCTAACAAGAGAATGAATCATGACAAGCTTTAATGTAGATTTCAGTTCCAGTTCATTTGGCTCTAGAAGTTCTGGCCTCCCTAAAATCCCCAACATTCATCACCATCGGCCCTACTAGTTAATGGGGGTGGTGGTTTAACAATATCTAAAGACTACAGGATCTCACTCCCCAGTTTTTAGCTATGTTCTTATCTTCAGAGAATTGTTGCTGCTTTGTTTTTTTAGTCTTACTGATATTTCCGTGTTCTCCAAGTGCTCGTATTCTGAAGGCCATCATTTTTTAAATCCAGACAGAACCAGCATAGCTTCTTTGGCAATTACGTAGCCTCTAGTATTTTGGCAGAAGCCTCCTTTCAGGTTCTATTCTGGTGGCACTGCCGCCAAGCCTAATAATTTCCATTTTGTTATTTGGGGCAGGGGCATTCTTTTGAGATCTGTAACTAATCAGCAGCTGTAGGAGATGAAGGATGCCACTTAACAGTGCTACTTCAAGTCTACTCTCCCCCCAAAAATAATGTTAGGTAGGTGTGGAGAATAAAAAGTGCAGCAAAGGACTAGAGGGCCATTTCTCCTGCAGTAATAGTTTTGTTTCCTGCCTAGTGGAGCTGGAGCACCGGATCGACTTTGAGCTCAGGGAAGGCCTGGTGGAAAGCAGGTACTGGTCTGCCGTTACATCGCATACAGCTTACTGGTCATCATTGGACATCGCTCTCTTCCTTCTTACCTTCATGTACAAGCAGGACCAAGGGGAGGATGGCATCAAGTCCCACTTAGACCCTGTTTGATTTGGGATGAGGTGGGAATTAGGAAGGAGCGGGAAGGGGAGAAAGGATGAAACATGACAATTGGCACAAAAACAGTCAGACAACATCTGTTTTTAAGGCATGGTGGTTTCAGTTTAAATGCATGTCTGGTTTTCTTCCTTCCAAGATTATTTGTCCTTCAGTGCACATATCCATTTCTGTGCTAATTGAGGCCTTCTTGAAAGATCATTCTCAGCTCCCACCCTTCCAGCTATCAAACAAGCCAGCAGTAGTTGTTTTAGCATCCATGTAGAATAACATCTTTGCAGATTAACATATCTGTTTAAGAGTAGCTGCTTTTTTAAAATACAGAGATTAATCTGCTATAATGGAATTTGTTTTCATTTAAGAAAAATGCCTGCAAACCTAAAACAGCCATGTTCTGTGTCCTTTGTATTGGTAATTAAGAAGCAAGTGGGTACCATTGTCCTAATCTAAAGTCTGTTGCCCTTGATTGTATTGAAATTCCATCAAGTAAGCGGCAGATTCAAAGGGTACAACACAACTCATTCCATATATTAAAACTGGCAAGCAGACATGAATGTTTGGAAATATTGTAACAATAATTTATTATTACCTCTTACTATTTTGTTTTCTCCAGTGTATTAAAAATGTTACTTTTCTACTGTTTTTTCCCTTTTTGTTTTCTTTGAAGCAGGGGAACATAATTTTAAAAAACCACATTTATTTTCTACAGTGTTAAGACTTTATTCCTCAGATGACATAGGACATACCTTTGTACTATTTCAATGGAGCTATGGACACTGTGGCACACTTTTCAGTATTTTTTTCATTAAAAATAAACTTTTGTGATATCACACAAGCATTATTTGTTAAATCCTGTTTCTCCAAGATCAGTCAGGCTCACTCTGTCTTTGATTTTGGCATATGTTCATTTTGCTGTCTTCCCAAATTGCAAAATACCTGCACTCGACATCTTGGAGACTAAGTAGTGGAAAATAAGTCTTAATTTGCGGTTCCTCAATATCAAGCAGATTCTTAAGATGAGTGTGTGACTTTGAACAGTTAGACCATTGTTAAGATCCTTTGATACAATGATGCTGGCCAGGATCCAAAGAAGAGGCATTCATACTCAACGTATTTTTCTCTCAGCTATTCAGGCTGTAAATGAAGCCATCTGCTTTTCAAACTGCAGGGTGTTTGCTTCTTCACAAGGGCAACTGCTTCAGTCCAAAACAATAAAAGTGCTTCTTCCCTCCTCCTTCATTGAGACTCTCAGTTCATTCCCCCACATGCATGCTCCTTCGCTTCACATGCACAGTTATCCCTAAATCCATAAATGTGATACTGTATGTACTTGATTTATATATGAATTTAGTCTCCATTCTTCTTGTATATTCAGGGGGACTTGGAAAATACATTGATTAAAATTCAGAAAAACATAAAAACAGGTTCAATGATATAATTACCATCACTACTTGGACAGAAGATTCTAAATCATAGACCGAAAAGCCATTACTCAAAACCACAGAGCTTCCCTAAGGAATGGCCTCCACAGAGTCATGCTTGACTCTCCACAGGGACAGGGATCATGTGGTTACATTATGTGAATTGGCAGTTAATGGCGCTTGTAGTAGTTTATGTGAGGACACCAGCACTCCTCCATTTCTGCCATAGTAAAGGGCAGGCGTTTAAGTAGCACAACTTCTTCCTTCAAGAGTTAAATGCTTCATGTGTGCTGGAACGTTAAATTGGCTTCATTTTCCATCACTCTGGAATATTATAGTCATGACGTTACTAGAGTCCATCACTCTAGTAATCTTATGAAAGAGCTTAGATTCCTTTGAATCCTTCCGGGATCTCTATCTCAGTTCCTAAGATAATTTTTTTTTCTGGAGTCATTTTGCAAGATGAAGATGCTAGAGACTGATAGGGGAGTGGCTTATGGGACTAAGATGCCCCATAAGTTTTCTATCTCAGTATCACCCATAATAATACATAAGGGAGGGGAAAAACAGTAAATGAAAGCACTATTGAGTATGTTCAAAGTCCATTTAATCTTACCACTAACTAAATAGAATCCACAGTCCTCAGGAACTAGAGCCAGGAATATATAACTTGGGTGTGTGACATGGTGCCTCTCAAAGGCCCTCCAAAAATCTGCAGCCAAATTTTGGTGACACTCAAAAAATGGTAGCAGGGAAGCTTTCACTTTTCTGCGATGAGTTGCCAGGGACCTTAAGCTCACCACTACCTCTTGTCCTCCTCCCCACTCCTGTTTTCACAATTCCTGCCATTGCCAACTTTCCTTTGTTGCACCTTCTTGATCTCTGACTATCATGGTGTTCACCAGCATCAAGTACTCTATGATCGTTTAGCCAGCCAGCCAAGTTTCAGGGCTTCTGTTTTTTTTGCTTTTGTTTTTTGTTTGTTTTTGTTTTTAGGGGGTGCAGACAGCATTTCAAATTAAAATTTTTTTTTGCTGCAGCAGTTGAAGATAAATTGGGAGCTTTAAAATAAAATGTAAAATGTAAAGGCAGGAAAGTGGCAAAAGAATGGATTGTATTTATGTGAAACAGAGGAAAAGATTAAGAGGTAGTTGTAGTTTTGTTTCTTTGTGCGGTTTACTTGGTCTAAAGGTGCCCCATCCAAGATAAAACAATGATTGATTCTCCAAAAAAGCTGGAGGATGCAATACTACTTAACATCCATAAGAGCAAGCTCTTCATGAAGTCCAAGACACATCCGACAAGTTTGAATGTGACTTTCAACTTAGGAAAGGTTGTACATCCCAGAACTCAATAATAAGTGTCCAGCTTTTGGGATGTGATCATTCCCACCAGATGACAGTGTTAGAATGTGCTTTCTGTATTTAGGGATGAAGCTCTCAGGCTGACAACTAGGACTTCAGTGTGGCTATTTCTTAACTGTAACAAAGATGGTAGCATCCATCTGTAGCAATGTATCCATCTGTAGTTCTTGCAGATGAAAGCATTATGTATGGAACTGTTGTAAGATGCCTTGCAATAACTTGGTGTCCTTATCTGTAAGTGCTAGGGAAGGAAGAATATGTCTGTTAGACAAAAGCAAGAGTTTAAAGAAAGTGCCTCCCCCCAGGAAAGTCAAAATTTTGGTCTGGGTGAAAGAGTAACTGGTTGATAGTTTTTACTTACATAGACCTTAGGAGGCAGTACATGACCCAGGGGTTCAATCTGCTAAAATTCTAGTATTTGGTATGTGAATCTGGCTAGAACTAAGTCTATCTTAAATATTTTGGTGTAATTAAACAAAGGAATTAAATGTGTGTATGGACTTATTTTCCTTGGGCATGGTACTCATCATAAAGATGAGACCTGTACCACAGTTATGTAGTTCACTTCTGTCCTATATCTTGACTCTCTGTTGGCAGTCTCAAGCAGTCAGCTGTGCTTGTGAAATTATTTATGCCTGTTAGATATCATATGTAGTTAGGTTCTTCACAGTCTGACGGTAGTTTTCTATGCTTTCAAACTTCTGATAGCCTGTCCCAGGATATTTTAGTCAACAAAAGTTAGTCCGTGTGTGTGTGTGGAGAGAGAGTGAGAGAGAGAAGACACTGGCTTTGTTAGAAAACTAGAGTACAATATACAAAATGTTTTACAGCGACTGCAGCTCAAAGTCTAGCTATATTTTGACTTATCTCCAAATCCCTCTACTAAGCAGAATGTCATTCTCTGCTAGATGACTAGGCCTGGTCAGCTGTTTTTCTCTGATCCACTTTTGTATTTATATGGCCAGGAAAGCTGCCTCTTTTATCTCTGCCCCTTAATAGAACACCCATGAGTCATAGGAGACTTTCCTCCAATTTTGGTTTTGTCTGGGGGGACATTCAGCTTATTACTACCTTTTGGCTCTTTCATTAACTAAAGGGTGCAACTTTCTGTTTCTCCCGCATCTCCCTTGCCCTTTTCTTGCTGATTTATCTTCAAAAATGTTTTCTGTCTAGGATTTTTTTTTTTTTCCAGGATTCTTTAGTTAATAGTGAATTTTCCCCTTTTCACTGAAAATTATTATCATTTCAAAAGTGTGTGTCTTCTGTAATTCTAGTCTGGGTGAACTATAATCCTGGTTCCCACGTAATAATCCATTTGGAGGACAGAAGCAACATAAAAATAAATAGTACTGTAAATATAATAATCCTAATCCATGGGTAAATTGTGAGGGATCTTACAAATTCTATTTTTGTGGGTTCCACTTCAGTATAAGAGATGCGGCATTTCATCAGGGGTAACATGGCCCATAGGCTGCATGGAGGCCTGAACCCCAAAGGTCAGTTCTCAAAAATTCAGTGATAAAACACCAATTTATTATTTTCCTTTCTTTACTGTGGTTTGTATAATAATGAAATGCCCCCCTCTCCCCAGGAGCCTCTGGGGGAAAAAATGCAGACCAAAGGATTTAGCTTATCTGATGATGTCACTGATCACATTCTCAGGCAGTCAGTAAGTAAATAAATCAATAAATCAATGAAGTACTCCTGCAGAAAAATTGCTGTCTGAGTTACACACTGCTTATAAGTAGTGCTTCCTAAAAGTATGCCAACAATTGCATGTTTCTTTAGTTATTAGAACCAAGCACAAACAATTGGGTTTAAGGTGTGGGGAAGATTTCAAGGAACTTTTAAATTGTACTTCTTACATTTAGAACTTCTTTCCCCAACCCTCCAAATGGCATATCAACAGCTTATTTTTGAAAAAAAATCAGTGTAGTTCTGTTATCCTTCATACTTGTGCTATGGTCAACCATCTAAAAGAACTGCAGTCTTAAGGAACTGCTTGCAGACCACCTAATGGCAGATTGCTATTCGTTATCAGACACACAATTGTGATCCATCAACAGATTTGTCAAGTTTCTGACCGAAAATCAGCTCTCCTATTAACTGACTTGCAACTGGTGTGATGCAAGCACTAATCATTGAGTTCTGAGGTTCAGCAAATTAGAAGGATGTATTAAGATTATTTATTTTATCTGAATACAACTTCCCATGTCAAAAGAGTGAATATATATTTCGGTAAAACATTAAACTTAATTGGTAGGATACATTTAAGGTGCAGTTTTTTTTATCAATATAAAACATGGTGGATTAGCAGTTTCTCCTTCAAGCAGAAATAAGCAGAGGAATATCAGTAATTTAAATAGCCAGTTTAGTGTAATGGTTAAAGTGTTGGACTAGAAGCTGAGAAACTCTGAGTTCTATTCCTCCCTTAGGCATGAAAGCTGGCTAGGTGACTTTGGACCAGCCACTTCACTCAGCCCAACTCACCTCACAGGGTTGCAACTTGAAATATGAAGAGGTTCCTTGTAACTGCTACATTGTGGGCATTTCCCCCTTTCCCTGAAGAACTGCAAGAAGTGCCTGGCCATTGCAGCCAAAATTGTAAAAGTACTCACTGGCAGTACAGGGAGTCCCCAGTTTAAGAACAAATTCTATTCCCAAGGTCTGTCCTTAAGTCGAATTTGTATGTAAGCTGGAACAGTATTATTGCATAATGCTGTATAAGTAGCATTATGTAATTAATTCAAACCATTGTGTAATTAACTCGAACCATTGTGTATTTAATTCAGATAGGCTTTCTTCTTAACTATGGGTTGTCCTTAAACTGGGCGTTCTTAACCTGAGGACTATCTGTATCTTCAAAGATTTCAAAAAAGTATTATTTGATTACATTTAGATTTCAGTCCTAGTTTTTCTACCATTGAGAAGCTTGAAAGTATTTGCTGTTTGAAATCATAGCTTCCTGAAATTTGTTTAAATTACATGAAACGAATTAATTGCACTATTAAAACATTTCTTAAAAGTCAGCCGCTAAAACAAAGTAACTCACTGAGCTAGATCCCACAGGATCCTGCTGTTCACTTTCTGAGCTGTTCTCAGGACCATCCCATGTGGCACAGTACATGTTAGGGATACCAGGATGTGTGTAGAGGGCATAGGGAACGGCCTTGAAGGACATGAGGAAGAGCCACTACCAAGGCAACTGTCAGGTATGAAAGGCTTGAGCCTGGGCCAAGAAAAAAACTTGAGAAAAGTTCTAGAATTGCCTTTTTTATTCTATTTATATACCACCTTTTCTTTTTCAGGCAGTTTACATGACAATATCTCCTAATTTTATCCTCACAATAACTTCACACTTTATTGGGACTTGACCCTTGGTCCCCCAGTCCAAGCTTAATATCATAACCAGTACAGTACACAGCATTGTTTAAATTGGATAGGTGTGTGTAGAGCATGCCAAGTGATTTAGACTAGGATGGTAAAGTAATTGAAAATGGAAGGAAATCAAGATTGGAGTGGATCTCAATAAGAATACGTTTCTTGTCTGGAATAAACTAGATTATGGGAAGCCATTACCTATTAGACAAGGAAATGAAGGTGTTGATGTAACAGATCCCATATAAATCTGTACATATTGCATAATATCCATGGAATATATTGAAACTGATCTAAGTTTTCCCCACTCTGGGAATCCTATGAATTGCTGTTTGATGAGAATACTGAAATGATGCAAATTGATTCTAATTTGCAATGTATACAAAACAGGGTACCTCTAGTGTGCAGTTTGAAAAACCTTGGAATAGCGTATTCTCACTCTGTCTGTCTGTCTGTCTGTCTGTCTCTCTCTCTCTCTCTCTCTCTGCAACAGTTTATCTGAACCAAAAATGTTGTTTGGTTTACATGTGCCATTTTTAGAACTGATAACCCCTTGTAGCAGTGAATAGGCAAATGCCATCAGCTCCTTGCATACAGTTTCCATTACTGTAGTTACATTAGTACCTTGCAAGCTTGCCCATCTGACTGCATAAGTTATGTTCTTGGTTATTATTTTGCCTTCTTTCTACACTACATTTGACCACTTTCATTCTGTTTAACCTGCACCTAGCACCTTGCTTTCCATCATGGTTGCTTCTCAGCCTTTTAAAAATGATCAGAAAGATAGTATGCTAGTGAAGGTCTGGTCTGAAATGGGCTTTTCTTGGGTAAAATGGGCTCATGAGAAATGTTTTATCCTGTCATTGGTGAGAAGCAGGTAAATATTCCATTTATCAGACTTTGTTAATTAAACTTGAAGATCACCATCCCTCTTATGGAATCATTACTAGCTGGTAGCTCATGGGCAATTATTTTCCAATTATAATGCTATAGTGATATTTTGCTCAAGAGTTTCCAGTTTATGAGATGGTAAATATAGGTGGATTCTCACCAGATACCAAAGAAGAAGAAAATCAGGTCTTACTATACCGCTTAGTTTTAGGATATTGATACTAAAGGGATAAAATGAAATAAGAACAGAAGTAGAGAAGGTGAGACATGAGGAAAAGAAAAATCCCAGAGAACATGGGCATTTGCTCTCGAGTAAGTTTCAAATATTATTTTTGGGGGGGGGGTGAGTCCATTTCAGTTTT